AGAGTAAGGTTCAATAATAGGTCCGCTCCCTACCGTACTCCACAAAGTTTGACACGGTGAAAGGGGCGGAGTACTTCCGGGTCCTGCACAATGGCCAGGTTCCAGTGTGCAGGTTATGCATAAAGCCGGGTCATATCTACAGGGAATGCCCAGACTTCAAGTGCTTCAGTGCAATGAGCAAGGACATTATGCCAAGGAGTGCAGGTATGGAGCTGAGCGTGCGGAGAGAGATAGGAGAGAGAGAGAGAAAGAAGACGGGGGAAGGCGAGGAGGAAAACGAGGAGGAAGATGAGGAGGAGGAGGAAGACAGAGAGGAGGAGGAAGAGGAGGAGGAGGGAAGGAGGCTGTGGGGAAGGCGACGAAGCGGAGGGAGCAAAGAAAAGACCCCATGAGGAGATCAGCAGTGAGGATGAAGGTCCAGTGGTGGAGGACATCTCGGGGGCTTCGGGGATTGAAGAGGAAGCACCTGACGTTGGAAACAACAAGAAAAGTGCCAGGCGCGGCGGAGGCGCCGAGGGAAGCAGCAGAAGCGCAGAGGTGAGCAGCAACGAGGGAAGGAAGCAACAGGGTCCGGTGGTGGAGGACATCTCGGAGGCTTCAGGGATGGAAGAGGAAGTGCCTGATGGAGAGGAGGGTACAATGGGCGCAATGGTCTTCGGGGGCTCCAATGGTGGGAGGTCGAGAGGGTCGCAGCCAGAGGAGAGGCAGGAATGAGGAAAGGAGGGCCACATCGGAGAGTGCCAGGCTGATGGCTAAGCGAAAAAGAGGACAAAGAGAGAGAGTCAGAGAGAAGGAGGGCGAGCTTGAAGGGAGGGGGGGGCCGGGAAAGACATAAGCTGAAGATGACACTAATAGCTGGCATATTAATAGCATCCCTTCTCATGGCTACTATAATCATCATTTAATGGCAATGGTCTAAAAAATAAGTGCAGAAGACGCCGGGCGCTAAGTCTGTGTGAGGCCAGCATCATATGTCTGCATGAAACACATTGGGATGGGGAGAGTGTGGATGAGGTGAAAAAAGGAGTGGAGAGGTGAAGTGTTTGCAATAATGGGGGTGAGCGTGCTAGAGGGGTGGCGATACTTATCAATTCGGGGGATGTGAAGAATGCAAGGAAGGTTGAGGATGATGGTGAAGGGAGGATGATTGGGGTACAGTATGAATACATGGGGGGACACGTTTAAGAGTTGATCAATGTGTATGCACCTAATACAAAGAGGGAGAGAAAGGGTTTTTTTTGAGGGGTTGGATGGTAAATGTGGGGGGAACTGTTTGATTGTGGGAGACTTTAATGTGTGGTGTGGGAAGTTGGATTGCGCCTGCGGTGCTCGATTCAGGAATGACTCCTCTAGGGTGGCGCTCCAAAAGATTATGGATGAGAATGGGTTGATAGATGTGTGGAGAGAAAGGAATATGGATGTTAGGGAATCTTCTTGGAGACGAGTGGTGAAGGAGAAACTTCTGCAGAGCAGGATTGATTGGCTCTGTGCCTCGGAAGCTGTGAATGAAAAGGATTGGGAAGATTGAATCTAGGACCACGGCGTTGAGTGATCATATGGTTCTTGGTCTCAGGATGGGGCTGAAAGTGAATGGGAGAGGGCGGGGGGGGTGTGGTGCTTGAATGCAAACTACTGATTGATGAGGTGTATAAAAAAAGGGTGAGAGAATGTATAAGGAAGGGGGGTGATACAAGGGACAATAACATATTAGATTGGTGGGGGGAGTTTAAAGAGGAGATCAAGAGAATAAGCATAAAACACAGTAAGGGGAAAAATATAGCTTGATAGAAGAAGGGAGGAAAGGGTGAGGGGAGAGTTGGCCAAAGAGGGCAGCGAAGATAGACTAGTGAGATAGGGAGAGATTTAGGGAGATACACGAGGATCAAAGATGAGCTAGAGGGTATAGAGAGGGACACAATGTAGGGGGGTGATTGTTAGAAGCAGGGCACAACATGCAATGGAAGGGGAAAGGTGTACTGGGTATTTTCTGAGTTTGGAAAAAAATGAAGCAGGAAAACAAATATTTAAAACAGGTTGAGGGAAAGGATGGTAGGAAAATAACAGATTTAGTCGGGATAGCAGAAAGAGTGGAGGAGTTTTACAGGGAATTATTCAAGACAGAAGAGGCGGATAGAGAGAGTGTAGAGACGGCGATAGACACTATGGATAAGCTTTAGATGATAATGATAGAGAGATGTGTGAGGGAGGGATTGGTACAGGAGAAATTGATTTAGCAATAGTAGGGTTGGGTAGAAATAAGAGTCCGGGGTTAGATGGGTTAACGGCAGAATTCTACACATCACTTTTAAGGAACTGTTGGTGCCGGTATTGCACAGGGGTGTTCAAACGCATTGAGGAGCAGGATGACTTGCCGACCAGCATGGCAACCGGGGTTATAAGTATATTTACAAAAAGGGTGATAGGGACAGGTTAGAAAATTACAGGCCGTTAAGTATGCTTAATAATGATTACAAAATATTGGCGAGGGTGTTAGGAAATAGAATAAAGAGGGTAATTGGAACGGTTGTGGGTGGGACTCAGGCGTATAGTGTACCGGGGAGGGTTATAAGTGACACGACAAGCAGCATCAGAGATACTATTAGACATATGAAGGAGGGGAAGGGTGGCATAGTAATGAGCCTTGATTTAAATAAAGCGTTTGATCGTGTCAATCATGAGTATTTATATAGAGTGTTGGGGAAAGCAGGGTTTGGGGTGAAGTTGGTGGGTTGGATAAAAAGATTATATAGTCGGGCGGTGAGTTGTGTTAAAATAAATGGGATTGTCACAAACGTGTTTAGGTTGGGGAGGTCGGTCAGGCAGGGATGTCCTCTCTCCTCAATGCTGTACGCCTTGTCCGCAGAGCCTTTAGCAGCCATGCTAACTAAGAACCAAAACATCAGAGGGGTGGAGATACCGGGGGCACAGATAGTCTCCTGTACCAGTATGCGGATGACACCACGGTCACGGTTAGGGATGGGGATAGTGTGAGAGAAGTGTTAGAGGTAGTGCAGCAGTATGGTAGAGCATCAGGGGCAAAGATCAATATAGAGAAATCAGAGGTCATGTATATAGGTGAGGGTGAGGTAGATAGGACAGGAATAGGGCTCAAAGAAAGGAAAGATTATTTTAAGGTGCTGGGTGTTAATTTGGGTATAAAAGAAGTGGAGGGGAGGGATGAGCAATATGAGGGAATCATCAACAGGATGAAGAAAACGTTAAAGTTTTGGAAGATGAGGCATTTAAAGTTAAGGGGGAAGGTAGTAGTGATAAATGGGCTCATAATGAGCAGAATAATCCATGTTCTGAATGTCATGGAAATGCCTGAAAGGGTTCACAAAGAAATAGATATGGCAATAAAAGAGTTTTGTGGGGAAGAGAAGGGAGTCAAAATTGCCGAGGGAGGTGATGGAGAATGAGTATAGGGATGGAGGGATGAAGCTCATTATCTGGAAAGGGAAAAAGAAGGCGCTGAGGGTCAAAATGATATTAAATATGTTGGGTGATAAGGAAAGATAAAAAAGATTATGCGTGGAAAAGTATTTTTAAAAAGAAGCAATTAATAAGTGGTGGAGGCTGTGGTGACAGCGCCTATTATGGCTTTGAGAAAAGAATGCTTATGGCGTTTTCTGGGTACCGACAGGGAGGCTTTATTAGCATGGGGTGAGTTTCTAAAAAGGGGTGAAGCATAAGTGTGTGAATGTTGAGGCAAGTGTGGAATCAGCCCATCTTTCTAAAACCATAATGATCACGGTTGAAGAAGTGTCCTGTATTCAATCTCCAAATGTGAGGCGGGTTTTAGAAACATAAGGGATTTGTTTATGAGTATGTGCCGGGGTTCATGGGGGCACGGGTGATAGTGTATGAGGTGAGGGGTACGGGGGGAATTATGCAGTTGAGAGTGGCGGAAGAAATCATGGAGAGGGTGAAAAAAGGTATGCCTGTGGGTTGGGTGAGAATGGTTGAATGTGAGGCTACAAGAAGTGGAGAGAGCGTGGCAGAAATGTATGTGGGGGAGGGGGATACTTGTGTTAAAATGGAGAAAGTAAACACTAGGGTGATTTACAAAATGCTGAGGGGGTAAAATAAGAAGACCTGCTTCTGAGCGGGTGTGGGAAAATGTTTTTGAAAGGTTTGATGGGCGGAAGGTGTGGGGAATTTAAGGGTGAAATGGAATAGCATTGAATGTGAGCACTTTGATTTTCTTTTCGTCACAACAGGGTGTACAACAATCTGATCATAAGCAGGTTTGATGTCACGGTGAAGAAAGAGTGTGATGTGTGTAAGGTAATGGTCGAAACGTGTATGCATGAATTTTTTGAATGTGGAGAGCTGAAAGTGTATTTTGAACGGTTGAAGGGGCTAATTGATAAGTGTTGGGGGGATAGAATATTAAAAACGATGGTATGGAAGGAGTTGTGGCTGTTTGGGATGAGTGGGGGAGTGAAAGGACCCAATGTGAATTTCTGCAACTATGTGCTGAGCCATGCCCGGTATGCTGTAAAACTTAGGAGAGACTTAGCCCATTTTGGGAACAGAAAGGTGGACGTATGGGATCTGTTCAAAAGGATTTTAAGCAAGGACGTTCAGATAGCATACGTGTACCTGGAAAAGGATGCTTTTCTGGAGAACTTTGTGGATGGGTGCACTCTGGTGGAGGTTGGTGACAATGACAAACTGGTGTTTAAATATGATAGTGTTGGCTAACATGTGGTGTGAAACGTAAAGTATGGTTTGTATATAAATGATTGCCTGTTTGCTGTGTTTTGTTTCTCGTTTTCTGTTTTTGTATTTTCAGTTCCTATGATTGAACAACCCAAGTAAGATCTATTTGTTTTTTGGCAATCTATTTTTGGCTAATTGCATTCAGTTATTTCTTTTATTTTGTCATGTTTTGCATGATGATTATTTTTGATTGTTTTAAATGTAGGGCCACATGAAACCACTTGTACATTTTGTAAATATTAAATTGTGAATTTTCTAATAAAAAGACAAAAAAAACGGCACGCTCACCGTTATCTCCCTCAAGGTAGGACTCGCGGGTTTAAGGTGGTTTTATGGTCTTTTCAATGAACCTATGGAAGGGTCTCAGGTCAGTTTGGATAGGGCGAGGGCAAGATACGTTTTCCCATCATGGAGGGAAACTCTTCAGACATTCAAAGCAGAGACCTGGGGCCTCATTTATAAAGCTTTGCGTAGGATTCACGTGGGAAGGTGGCTTACGTAGGACAAAGCAAATAAATACGCACAGACATTTTCCGATTCATAAAACACAGCGTACCGGCGACTTGCCGGTTTTCTTTATTTTATAAATCACAATCAACTCGAAATGCGGCGCAGCTTTTGCGGGCTTCACGTATCGCCCATCTTTGCCTATAAATAGTCAAAAAAGCGCCCCGTATTAATATTCATCATGAAGAAGATCGCAGGAAATGACGACAGAACAGCTAAAAAAGACATTTCACACCGAGTCAGATTTTGGTTCTTTTGGGGAGGTGGAGACAAATCACATTGTTTGGTGGATGCAGTTTGAACCAGAGTAGCAGCATGGAGGTCGGATCGTCACCTAAATAAGTGGTCCGAAAAAAGTTAATGACAAACAAAATACACATAACCTTCCTCAGGCAGTGTCTCAGTGTGTTTGTGCCGTTGACAGGAGACACCCCCCCCCCCCCATGATGAGAAACTGTAAGAAAGTATCGGGGAATCCCTCCGGAGTGGAGTCATGACGACTGGATCTGAATTATTAATTTGTATTTGGTGGTTTGTGTTCCAGCTGTCGATCAGCTGTGCGCAGCGTCTCCACTGCAGCCTGTGCGTCTCAACCCCCCCTCCTCGCAGCAACTCTATATCCACCAGTTAACATGAAATAAACACACGTGTTGTGTTAAATTAGCTGCACAATTTACCACATCGGTGTTCTTAGTTTCCGTACCTCCTGTGTTTTACGAGCGTCTTATCAAGTATTGAAGAACGGCATAAAACATGATTTAAACATGATGGTATATAAAACCATGCTCGTATCTATCTAACCTATAGAAAAGCTACACGGCGTCAGTTTAAAGTAATTCTGTCCTGCTTACCGCATCATTTAACGGAATACATTTGTTAACAAGAGAACATCGAGAGGTGATCAATAACATTTCCGTATTTATGTATTTCTCCAATGTGTGTGTGCACTGAGGAGTCTCAAACAGGCGGTTGTTTCATCATTTTAAGATTGGCTTTAATCAAGTTTTGCAAAGTAATTCTTCATATATGATAAATGAGAGGTAACATTCTATTGATGGTATTATTTCCACATATTTCTCTCCATTCTTCCTTCGCCCAACGGTGTCGCAGTTTCTCGTCTCTCCCGTTGTTGTGCGTACCGCGTACGGATGGGTCGGAGTGTGCGTGGAGGACCGCACATTTCCCCCTGAAGTTAGTTTTTTTTAAATCGCAAACTGCGTAGAAACTGGCGTACGCCATCTTTTGAGCGTACGCACCGTTTAATATGGTGTTTTACTCCAAGTTGTAATAGTTTTGAAGCAACTTGTAGGTGTTTTGCAGAGTGTAGAAGTGCTCATAACCAGCCGAGCAACCCGGGAAACTGGCTATGGACGTTTGCTCACTTTCTTCTAGCTCTTATTATTCTTTATAACATCTGTTTTTGTGTTTAATCCATAGAGCTGAGTATGAGCGTTCCCCCTCCTGGATGGAGCCAGGAGGATCTATTACTCTGTCAAAGTAAGCCTGGTTTTTAACCTTCTTTAATGCTATATTGAATTGGTGTTTGAGCTGGCAACTATTATGTTGCGTTTGTTTTTTAAAAGTCTACTGTCCTCTAGTGCTTTTTTATTTTTATTTTCTGTCAATAGTTCTCTAGTGTGCAGATTGTGGACAATATAATTGGCTAAGTGCTTGTGTTACAGGCTCCTCTCCCTCTGGGGGAACCTTGTCTGCTTTCAGTGTAGGGACTGCACCGGGTGACACTTTAAAAGGGTGAGTAAACTAACTCTCACTGTAATCATTTTGTAGAAGTTGTGCTTTGAGTAGTGCGTGCTTTTGTTCTCTTTGTGTCCTTCACAGTTAGCAGGCATTGTGACCTAGTGGACCAGACCTGCCCATCTGAGGAGGGGAAACCCACCATGTCAGTGTAAAGTATGTTCACCCTGTTACCCGTTGACACCTGTTGAACATTGACATGTTAACATGTATATTTGTGAAATAAAGCTGCATTCTATTTGGTCATGAATGCCTCTGTTATTGTCCTCGTGAAGGGAAGCCCCAACATCGGCAAAGCAACTTCGAATTTAGATTGAGGGTCCACAGGTTCCTCCATCCCCTCAACAGGAGTTGGTGTTGTCAGCTATTTAAAGGGGACCCCAGCCACAGTTACCACATATGCATCAGAGAGGGTGTTTTCACTGTTGGCCTAATATATGATTGGTCAACTGAACTTGGCAACACTAAACACAACCACACCTTAACATAAGCAGAAACAGACTACCTGGTCACCTGGAGATGTCGCACTAAACCTTCTATACATTGTTGACAAGGAGTAAATGATATTAAATCAAATATTGGCAGTGCTAAACATTGCCAGACCAAAACAAATGTTCTTTACAATTTCCAGAAGATGTTGATCAGGAGGGATAATGGTCTGTTTTTAAAACGCTTTCTAGCACGTGAAGACCAAGCTGCCCATCACACTAAAGCTTTGTAAACATTTCATCGAGCCACCACATTACCACAAATAATTCCCAGCTTGTGCAAAATGAAGATGAACATTAGGCAAAACAGACCATAAGCTTGTGTGGATATATCGTATAAAACATAATGTATTCATTTCAGGGAGACTTGTTGCTTTGTGTTTCTTTTCATTTACAACTGATGTCGCACTGACTTGCTCCTCTGCTGCCCTCCAGTGGCCACAAGGCACAACAGGTACTTTTACATTACAGCATGTAGCTCCAAAGCACACAAGTGTTTCCTTCTGAAAACGCACTTGCACTTTACTAAAGCTCTAAACATGGCACATGAACACAAATATAAACTATATACAATACAATCAGGAAGATAATACAATACGAATGCTCTAATAACAGTGAGCAGAGATGTGTTTTGATGTGTGGGCATAATGTACAGCAGGGGTAGGCAAGTAAGTTTGGCCGTGGGCCAATTTTTTGCTGAGCCACAAGATGGCGGGCCAGAACATAATCAAAGCCTAATTCAAGGAATTGATTTTGGTAAGAGGGCGCAGCGCCCCTGTTCCCCGGTTCAGAAAAAACTCTGATATCGCTGATAACCCTCCCCATCAACACTCTGATGCGCAGTCAGATCCGCTGATTGGTTCACTGATGATATAGGCGCCCAATCCAGAGCCTCTGGATAGACCCGCCCAAAGGGAGGCTCGTCGTCTCTAGCCCCATTTCAGTCCCATGTTAAAAGTCAGGGCTATTATCTGTATTTTAACAGACTTATCTTTTAAATTGAGGTGTATTTATTGTTCTCTTCAAAGTTTATTTTTTTCTGAAATTTTAGGGAGGATGGTCCTCCCTTTCCTCAATGGACGAGCCTCCACTGAGTGAGTTATAACTAGGTAGCAGTGTTATTTAACATACTTTTATTCTGATAAGTATTGTCAAGTTCTCTGGGTTTTTGGCATTTATTTGAGTGTTTGCCCACATTTGAGAGGCTTGAGGGGCAACAGAGGACGCATGGACAACTGGAATCCTTTTTCCTTTTCTTTATTTCAACTTTTCAAGAACACATTAGGATTCTTTCAGGTTGAAAACCTTTAAAAAATACAAAATAAATAAATGACAGCATGTTTTGCTTTGCAATTTATTTAATAATTATAACCTAAATTAATCAGTAACCAAGTATTTTACTCAAACTCAATGTATTTAATACTTAAAGGGGACCTATCATGCAAAATGCACTTTTGTACGTCTTTTATACATGAATATGTGTCCCCGGTGTTCCAGGGAACTCACCAAGTGTCAGAAAACACAACCCTCTCTATTTTCCTCCATACCCAAATCTCTAAAAAAGGGGCTGCAACGGATCTGATAAAAACTGATCCAGATTTGAACACTGTCCTGACGTCAGGACGGTGGCGCTACGGCTATTGGGCCAACTCTCCACCTATCAGGGGAATGTGGGGTTGGGCCACGGCCGGCCATTGCCGCTTGAAAGCGCTGGAGACTCTGTAGTACATATGCCAGGCCTGTAAGTGGCGCTGTAGTCTGCCACAAAAGCAGTGAAGAAGACTTCCCGCGCATGGTTGCCATGGTTACCCTTCTGTTTATTCTCCGCTGTGGCTTTTGTTCTCCCTCCCCGAGGCAAGCACTGTAATTCTCTCCGGTTAGTCCACCAGCAGATGACAAACACCCACCTCTCCGCCTCTTCCAAGGAACGAGGGGACCGTGCGGCAGAGTTTCAGTTAGGTTTTCTTTCCCCGGTCAAGATGTCCGTTAAAGTTGAAATCTTCCGGACAAAATTTGAAAAGTGCCGGTCTAAGGTCTTCTTTGTTATTTATTGAGCTTTAAAACAAATGAATAACGACTCTATATAATAATATAAGAATAAAACACGGAGGACGGAGATCTCTTTTTCTCCCCCTCTTCTGACTTGATCAGAGCACGCTCCCCTCTCCTGCAGGGGGGCGTGGTCAGCTGCAGCTCACAAAATCAGCCCCCTGCAAAAACAGGGCTGGAGAACAGCAAATAGAGTGAAATGAGGCATGGCTAAAATGCATGATCTGTTTGTTATTTTGAAAACAGAAACGTATAAATATACCTTATATAGGTATGGCCCTACAATATATCATTTAAATATAGCATGATAGGTGTCCTTTAATTAAGTACTTTAATTGACGTCAGTGCACCCCGCTGCCTGATTGTGCCTGTGCTGTATGTCATTCATTCTCAACATAGATAAAAGTACAATAAGCATTCTTCAGGTGTAGGTAGATTCTCTATTCGGACATTATAGCCTATATGTGCGACTGTCGGTCCGATGTTGTAAAAAAAAAAAAAATCTCAAAATATTTTTTTATTTTTTATTCTCAAAATTACGGGCCAAATATTATTGCTGGCGGGCCAACAATGGCCCGCGGGCCGCCTGTTGCCGACCCATGATGTACAGGGTAATAGTCAAATGACTGCCACAAGGCCTTTCTATGACACTGAATAGGAACAGACCACAGCTCTGATTTAGGAGATCTTGCTGACCAACAATTGCTGAATAGGTTTAACAAAAAGCATCTTTCAAATGAGACTTTCTCAGATTAACCCTTTAACTGCCAGACCAAGAAAAAAGCTATGGGAAAATTATTTGTTTGCATTTTTTTATCAAATGGGCCACAACTAACCACAAACAATTATTATTTTTTTTGACTGACCACACAGTTTTGTTTTTATGAGCCTGTACCAACTGGTCGAGCTGGCCTAGTAAAAGTGCATTTTCAACAATCATATACAGTATTTGTATGCATCAAACTCAAATAAAACACAAACTGAAATACATTTGTTTCTTTTATGGAAAATGAGCAATATATACAACCAGATATATTCATAAAAGATAATAAATTATAATTGTAAAACAAATGTTTTGGAAAAAAGTAATGTTAAGTCTTTTTCATAATGAAAAAAAGACTTGCTCATCGTACTGTATATGCTGAATTGGCCTAACAAGAAACCACTGGCCTAACAGCAAATGTCTACATCCTGTGTTGGCCTAACTTGCTCATCTGTGTGCAACTTTGGGCTGAATGCCATGCATGAAAGGTGCTATATAAATTATTATCACTCTTTCACTCTGAGACTCACTAGATTTAGTAATATTACCATGAATCTAGCTATTTATTTACCATATTTTATAGGAAAACATCTCTGAAACTCTGAAAAAGTCATATTGCTAGTTTACCATAAAAGGCCAATTCGACCGGTTGGTTGAGCATATTTTCAAAAAGATAATTACACCCTTGTTAAAACTTTTTTTGTGCATCAAGTTATCTAAATATGTTCAGTAAGTGCTCTGACACTAAAATGTGTCAACAAGGATATTGTTACCTTACAAAAGTTGACCAAAAAGAGTGATTTCTTCAGCAGTGATTTTTTAGCATGCCAACTTCCTCAGTGGAAGCTAGCTGAAGGGCATTCTGTTCGAACCACAGTGACATCTAGAGCAGTGGTTCTCAACTGGTGGGTCGCGACCCAAAAGTGGGTCGCGGACCCGTTTCGAGTGGGTCGCGGATGTGTGAGTGAAGAAAAAAAAGTTGGAAAAAAAAATTAGATTTTTTTTTTTTTTTTTTGGGGGGGGAAAAGTCAAACTTTTATTTTGAAGGCCCGATTTTCTTCTCAGAGTGTACCAGAATGCGTAGTTTATGTTAGTATTTCTAAAAATCTCCTGGGGGACAATCCCCCCAGACCCCCCTGCTGGGGTTGGGTTTCAGCATGTGTGCCTTTGTATATAGTTCAGCTTTGATTCCATCATCTCATTAAACCTTTTTTAAAAGCATACTTTAGTTCTGTGAAGGGATATATGCACTGTACTTCACTTTTATTAATATTGTATGCTCAAAAGCGTATATATATATATTACAGCACGATTTTTTGTTGAATAGATTTGAGTGCTTCAAATGTTGGGTCGCGATGTATTGACCAAGTAAAAAGTGGGTCCCGAGGCCTGACCAGTTGAGAACCACTGATCTAGAGGTTGCTTTGTGCATAACATGTCAACCAAAGGGTAGAGCTGTCTGAATCAGATGGAGTTACCCTTACACTTTTTTTTTTCTTTCAACAAGATATCAAGACACAAAATGTGCTCTACCAAATGGTGGCGCTGGCAGTTAAAGGGATAAAGAGAAATGATGTGCCTCATGTTAAAGAATTCTGCAATCCAGACTGACTCTTTTGACTTTCTTAATGTTACACCAGCAAAGCCTTGTACCCTGATGCTAAATGACTACTAAGCTACATTTGAAACATTCAGCACTTTTCTCTAACTTAGAGGCTGCACTGTCTGCTGTTCAGCAACAGTTAAGGAGACTGGCTTCAAAGAGTAGATGTACTGTCAAAGTGTATGAATAATGCATTGTTTCCTTGTTAACAAAGTGAACCATTATGTTGCATATATCACAAACAGGACTTTCATACACAGTAAGTGTACATCTGTGTC